GTTCTACAACAAAATGATCAAACTGCTTACTGTGCTACACTACTACTTAATTAGCTTACTAACAATGAGATGATGCTTGAATTCTATAGCTGCGTGATTTTGAATCATCATCACTGTACATAGCATTTTATTTCATTTCTTCTAGTAGCATAAACTTTACTGTACTGGAATTGCATATATTTTTAGTCATTGTAAGGGGTCTCCATACCAGGTTTAATTCTGAAGCAAGAAAGCATATTTATATTTCTAGAGTTCCCTCTGGGTAACAAAACACAATTTTCTTAAATGTGAATAAGCTTCTTGGGGTTTGAGACCATCCATGCTAAGAATTCAGTTACTCTCTATGACAAGATCTTAATTACCTTTTGAAGACCAACTGAAAGAGCACTAGAAAACTAACACTGGAAAGCTATTTCTTTAAGGGACCAGCAGTTAGCCTAATGGCTATGTCGCTGAACTCCCATGTAGTCGACTGCGGTTTGAGTCCCAGACCCGGTGGCTTAAACTCACGCCGGGTGCGTGTGTGTGAGTGCCCAAGATCCTGAGAGGAGAATGGAGGAGAAGGGATTGTGGCATGGCCATCCCCCCTGGGGGGTGATTTCTCACTTTCTCTCTCTCTCTCTCTCTGTCTTTCTGGCGAGTGCATGTACCCTATACCAAAAACCTCTCCAAAAAAAAAAGAAAGGAAAAGAAAGCTATTTCTTCAATACATCCATCTGCCAAGAAAATCTCTAGATAGCATCTGAAATTAAGTAAGAGTGGTATATAAGATTTGGAAAACAACAATTTCACAGACTGTTCCAAGCCTGAATGGTGAATATAAAACCAAAAGTCATATAATAAATGGAATTAAATTTCACAAACAATCATCACTAGGACTTCTGAACTTCTTTGGATTGATAAATTATCAAAGTTATGAAGGAATTTACGTTTTAAAAAAACCTATGATGACAGGTAATATATAGCAAATAGGTGGGCAGACTCCCACCCCAGTTCCGTGGCTCCCTAAACTTGGGGTCCTGACTATACTGGTATAACTGGCTCACCTTCCTGTGTCTCAGCTTCCTCAGAAGTCAAATAAGGAAAAAATAATATTTCTCTAATAAATTTAATGCATTAATAAATAGAAAGTACTTGGAAAAGTGCTGGCAAGCAGTAAGAACTCAATCAATTTAGCTATTATTCTTACCACGCTATTTGAAGCTGTAAGAGTCCACTGAAGTACTCCTTTTCTCTCTACATCTGGGCAGAGCTAGAAATGAGGAGACCTGGGTCTGAATTAGAGTCACCATTCACTATTCACCTTGAGACACTAGATGACACTGAGCACCTGCTGGCATCAGGCACTGCTTTAGGCACTGGGATTAATCTGGGAACTTTGTCATCTTCAGACGTGTCACCAAAATTCCAAAGCTGTTTCCTCATCTGTGAAAAGGATGTAACATTATCTGCCTTACTTATGAATAAGGTTGTTTTAAAGCTCAAATCAGGCAGCAGACATGAAAGCACTTGGAAGGTTTTGTAAAGCACCACCAGAATGGTGGTGAATATTCTAATGCAAGTTGTTGGTCACATGTACCAGGAATGTGGCTCAGGGTGACTCTGTCTGGATCCCTTCAAAGAAAGTTTATTACTTAGATCCAGAAGAGTTTAAAAAAAAATTTAATAAAATTGTAGGTATGCTTTCTTTATAATATTGGTCAAAAAATGACAATATACTCTATTAAAAAACTGTATTTTTTTTCCTAAACTCCAACTCTACGAAGAATATGAACATATCAAGCAGTTGGTTGAGCAATATTTTCCTTCATAAACTGTATTTGAAAAGAAAATATCAAATCCTAAGATATTATTATTATTAAGCCAATAACCAGCAGTTTCATTAACTTCTAAATGCTAAACGCTTTACTTACAGCAACCCCACCAAGCAGGCACATGAGCCCCATTTTATACGATTAGAATGCACATTACTGGAAAGTCTATGTTCTTAATCAACACTATACAATAAAAGCACCAGAAGAAAAAAGTTGTAATTATTTCTATTTTCACCAAATTACATACCTAAGAGAATGAGTAGATTAAAGGACTCCGAACTATGCTGTGAACTTTGGTAACAAAAATGACTTAGACGTTATCAAATTTAAGTGCTTAATGATTCAGTCAATTTTAAATCCTTAAAAAGTCTTCATAGTTTTTTCTTCTAGTTTAAAAAATAAAACATGCCTCTCTAAAAAATAAGATAGAGAGAAGCAGAATTTAAAACATCCATAATTCCATCATTCAGGAGAATCGTTGTTGACTATTTTCTCTGCACCTACTTTTATATTACTGTGAACCATGAAATTCAGTTTCGGATGATTGTTCTTAAGCATGATCCCAAATACAAGGGCTAAACTCTCTTTATTTGGCAGATATAAATTAATAGTAAATTTTGTACAAGCAGAGAAGAATATCATAACAGAGATGTATATTTTTAGTATCTTCTTTTCTAACTATGGAAAAACAAGCAAAGAATAACTTCTCTCAGTGGTATCTCAAAAGTATACTGCCTAAAAGAGACCTATGTAATTCTTAATCTTTGTGTGCATGTTTATACATACATACACACACAAACATTTATCTGCTTACATAAAACATTTTTGGCTGTGTTGAGAATTATAGCTTCCTGAGGGCTTGATAATATTATAACTAAATATAGTAAAATAGCTGAGAAGATTGTTTTTCACAGTCATTGAACTTTGCCAAAGTTATATTTTTGGATGATTAAACTGCAAGGTTTTCTCTTTTGAATGGGTTAAATATTTGTTTGAGTCAGAATATTCACAATAAGCAAAATTCTTACTGAAATCATTATCAATCCTGAATATAAATTTAGAAAAAAATTCTATCATTTGTGAAATGATACCACAAAGGGAAGAGGAATAGATGGTGACAACCATTGGAATAACTTAGGGCAAAGATTTCAGGTGTATGTCGAACTGTGTAATGTCACACTACTGGCATTTTGATTTAGGGGACTTACACTAAAATTGTACTCTTTTTAAATTATATTGGACAGAATAATTTATGCAACAAGAAAAGCAAAAGCTACAAAAAATTACACATAAGTCTTTATAAGAAACAGAAGGCAGACATGGACCAAGAATTTTTTTTTCTTTCTTTCTCTCTTCCTTCCTTCCTTTTTTCTTTTTGTTAGAGAGTACGTGTATTCACCAGAGATAGAGAGGAAGAGAGGGAGAGGAACCCCCCCCGACTCCTCCATGAGGAATGGCCTCACTATAGTCCTTTTTCCTCCATCTCTCTCTCTTTTCAGGATTTTGACCATTCACGTACACGCACCTGGTGTGTTTCTCAAGGTATTGGGCTTGGAACTTGAGCCACACGGTTGGCCACATGGAATCCAGCTGCCTTAACCACCAGGTTACAGAGCAGGCACAAGAAAAGTTTTAAACAACACAATCTTTCTAGTGCTTACTCTCATATAAGAGATTTTTGTTAGTCATAAATTCTAGAACCTATTTATATAGTGTGAATAAAAAAAAAATCCAGCATAAATAATGCAGACTGGCAGTGAAAGTGTGTTCAATCAAACTGCTTTTGTAAAATTTGCCAGAGGGTATGTGTGTTTGCTGGAGAGAGACAGAGAGAGGGAAAGTGAGAAAATGACCCCCATGGGGGATGGTCACTGTGCAATTCCACCTCCTCCATTTCTCCTTTTAAGAGTTTGGGCTTGTATGCACACACGATGGTCAAGGGGGATGGTCACTGTGCAATCCCACCTCCTCCATTTCTCCTTTCAAGAGTTTGGGCTTGTATGCACACACGATGGTGTATTTTTCAAGCAGTAGATCTGGGTCTCAAAGCACACAGTTGGCCATGTGGGATCCAGCTGCCTTAATCACCATACCACTGCCCAACCCTCTCCCCATTGTTTTTAAATTTAAGACTGTTCTTTGAAAGTCAAGAAAAATATAACCTAAAACTCTACCTGGAGAAAGGAAAAATGAATCCTACCAACATTTCTGTATTTTTAAATGTACAAAAAAATATATAATATGCATGTGACTATTTGTGTATTATAGTGAAAGACATGATCAGGTATTTCCAAATTATCAAGTTAAAATAGTATATACTTTTCTTACAGAGTGAAACTGTTTGTGTCATTAAATAAATGATTGAGCCAAAATATTTTCATCCTAACTGAAAATATGAAGCATAATCAAATCAAATCAAATTTTAAAATAATAAGGTCTATTCTCTATAAAAAAGAATATACATCCTTTTATTACAGAATGTTTTTTGGTTGTTTATATAGAGAAAAGATTTTTCTGTGGTAATTACATGCAAGATTCCTTTTAATTTTTCATTTATACTTCTCTTAAAGAGTAGTCACCAGAGGTTACTAATTAAATCAAAGTCATGTCCTATACATTCTCTTCTGAGATTTAGTTAACCTTATGAATAAAGCAAACATTATATTTTGAAATTATATTTTAAAAAAGTGTAAAGAGGGACCAGCAGTTAGCATAATGGCTATGTTGCTGGATGCCCATGTAGTTGACCTTGGTTCGAGTCCTGGACCCGGTGGCTTAAATTCACACCGGGCACGTGTAATGCATGCCCAAGATCCTGAGAGAAGAATGGAAGAGAAGGGATTGCAGTGTGGTCATCCCCCCTGGGGGGTGATTTCTCACTTTCTCTCTGTCTCTCACTTTCTGGCAAGCACACATGCCCTATAGCAAAAAAAAAAAAAAAAAAAAAAAAAAAGTGGGAAGGCAGAAGGTGGTGCTTAAAAAACAACACTTCAAATTTAGTGCTTTGTTTTGAAAGGGCAAAGCATATTATGCCATATAGTCCATAAATATGTATTAAATAAATTACATGGTTCACCTGATGTTTTTAAAATCTTGTATACGGATTAAATCACAAACATCTAGAATCAGTTTTAGGACAAACAAGAACAGGTTTTTAAATAGCTAAAAAGGTAAATTATGATAATAAAAAAAAACCACTCTAATATCTTCAGTGGCTGTTTCTTTTGGGATTAAAAAACCTAAAAAAAACAAAACAAAACAAAACAAAAATCTGTCATCAAATACCTGTATGTTTCGGCCTCATTATTTTAGAGTAACATTAGGATATACTGTATGTATTAATAGCATGAAAAGTACTTTACACCGAACATTTCACTTTGAAGCTTAGAAGTGGTTTTAAAAACATGTCAATAAGTTGATCAAATTTAAATTTGGAATATAAGAACTGAAAAACTAAAGATAAAATCAAAACTCAACAAATATTCAGTCAATGCTTACAAATGAAATGAAAATTTACAAAAAAAAAAATACCCATTATATCAGATTCAGCCATTACAATAAATTCTTTATCAGGTAGTAATAATGTGTCCCTAAGTCTACCTTTCTCTTTGGATAGCAAACATTTCTGGGCACTCATTCAATATCTGGTAAGAATGTTCATTCAGAAAAATAGCTAAAAGACAGGGTCTATATGACCTCAGAAATTTTATGTTCAACTTTTTCTGTATAAAGTTATAAGGCATTTATCACAGTATGGTAAAACAACAAATAATTTATAATAAAAATAGATCAAAACTCTGTTTTAAAAATATCTCAACTCAGAAAGTCATGGAAGAAAGATATTTACCACTTACATATTCTCTAGGCTTCTACTGTGATAAATTTTTTTTTTTTTTAGGCTTAAACAGAACATGTGCCATGAATGGCAGGTGTCTCTTTGCAAACATGTGAATTGAAGCTTAAGTTTCTGTCTGAAGTTACTGTGAAATTTACACTTGAATATGCTGACTGCTATTAATAAAGATAGAAAAAGTTAGTTAAAATATGTGGTATTATCATCATCACTCTAAGTTTTCTTATGGTAAAATTCTCTATTATAGTGTGAACTTCAGTCTTATTTATGCCAAATAACATAATCGATCATAGTATCAAATCATGGTCAATGACTTAGCTAATATAGAGCCAGAAGGAAGGAATTTGTTTATACTAAAAATAATAAGGAGCATAGGTTTATTTTAATAGCAGATGAATGGGTGTGTTTGTATCCAGAATCAGAAATAATTTTGTTTCATAAGTTACAGTCATAGTAAGGTTGGAGAACCGGGGGCCAAGGTGGCGAGGTGCTAGCTGGCTGGCTAAAGTACAAAGCTGAGCTCTATTGGGGCTATGTGATTGTGCTGCGTATCAGTTATTTGTAAAGGCTGACTGAACAAAGCTGCCTTCATCATGCAGGCACTGCTGTCTGCACTACAGTAATATAGAAACACACTGATAGATATCACGGCTTCAAGTGATAAGCAATTGCCAGGAATCTGAAGTGAAATTGTTGGTTGGCTGGAAATGTTCTCTATGTCACCAGATGGTATCTGTCCTTGAAGAAGCCATTCATTGCCTAGAAAATAAAAAAGTAAGTTATTAAGACCCTATAAGAAATCAAGTAAGAAACTGGAAAAATCTTTTGAAGATTAGAGTCATTCAGTCATCAAATAGTTATTGAAACCATTGAGGTTAGCAGGTGGTGTGATAGTTTGATCCCACACGGCTGACTACGCAGTTCAAGCACCAGACCTGGCTGCTTGAAAAACATGCAAGGCACTGGAGACTGGAAGAGAAAAGATTGTGGTGTGGCCATCCCTCAGGGGTGATTTCTCACTGTTTCTCTCTCTCTAGAAAACGCATGTGAACTTTGGCAAAAATCAGTAGTGACTTTCTAGGTAAGATGATGAATTATTGAATACTCCAAAATTACTAAAAATCCACAATTTTTTTAGAAACAAGTAACACTACATATATATTCTTTACAGGTTCAATGTAAAACCAAGACATTTTGTCTATTTTAATACATAAAACTCCCCCTAGGATTAAATATGCAGGTTATCTACATAATAGAATTCTTATAAACATATATATTTTAAGCCTTCTAGTATTAAATTTTTCCTTAAATGTCTTCATTCATCTTGAGCCTTCTCTCAGGAAGAACACATGTCATAATGAGGAAGCACATTCCTACACTTGCATTCAGCTTTAGAGGGTGGTAGACCACCAAAGCCAGCTGAAAGAAATGTATGAAATGCTTTCCCACATCTCAAGTAAGAGTACACTGAACATAACTTAATGGGACCTTTTAATAGCTTGGGGCATCTGTGAAACACTGGACCATTTACTGAGAAGTGATGAAATGCTATGTCTACTTTTTCTTTTCTCTCTCCTTTGTTCACAGGGTAAGCTGACAGACTCAGATAATCTGCCACTATCAGCTCTCTCCGCATGTCTTCGTTAGTGTATTGCTTCTAATATTCTGTTGATTGAAAGATCAATTTTGAGAAAAATATGTTAAATACCAATAAGTAAGGAGAAAGTGAGATACATTCTGAATTGTTATTGGATGAAGGACTGGCCCCTTGGTGCAGTGGTAATGCATTGCTCGCGAAAAGCTGGACTGCATATAGTGACTGGTTTGAGTCCCCAGGCCCTTCAGCCTGAAGTATGTTGGCCACATGTGCGAGTGATCCAAAATCAACAGGCTGGAGGCCTGGAGGAAGAGGGCTGTGGCATGACCAGATCCTATGGAGAGCGCTCTGCTCTTATGTGTGCACGCACTCTGCCATGATTTAAGGAAAAAAAGAGTTACATATGCAAGAGCTTTTAAACAATTCTGATAACTCTTTGGGCTTTTTTTCCCCCCTTGTTTCTGGACGGGGGAGTGTGTTTTATTTATTGCTTGATTTTGTTCAAGAGATTAGTAGAGAACTTATATTTTAAATCAAAACAAGAAAGTAATGGGACCAGCAGGTGGCATGGTGGTTAAGGCGCTGGACACTCCCACATGGCCGACCAGGGTTCGAGTACTGAATCTGGTGGCTTGCTTTCTCACTTCCTCTCTCTCTCACTCTCACCCTCTGTCCCTCTCTGGTAAAAAAAA